CCAACCACATAGAGCGGGAGAAGGAGCGGGACCCCGAGCACCGGGCCCTCTGCAACCTGGCCCCTGGGTGAAGTGCTCCGCAGCCATTACCTCCAGGTAGCCGGCACTGGGAAGTGGGCGGGAGAGGCCGCGCGGGGCGAGGGCGGGGGCTGGGGGTGGGGAGCGCGAGGCGGGAGCTCGGACCTGGGGGCGCGGGGACCGAGGGGCTGGGGAACGCACTCGGTTGGGGTCGGGCCGGGCGGGGGGCGGCGGCTGGGCGCTCCTGCCCCTGGGTTGGCCTGAGCCCAGGCCGCGCGGCGAAGGTTAAGGGGTCTCGAGGCCGCCAGGGAGGGATGAGGTGGCAAAGCAACTGCAGGCCCGGGCGGTCGGGGTGCGGTCTGTCGGGCGGGGGTCGCGCTGGGCTGGAGCGCGATGGTCTGAGGAGGGTGGGTCCGTGCCGGCCTGACAGTTTTCCTGGTTCTCGGGAGGCGAGCCGGGGGCATGGGACCCTGTCCGCCGCACCCGCGAGGCCAGCGGCCACTTCTTGTCCCCCCATCGCTGCAGCAGAGGCTTTGGGGCTAGCGCGGACTCAGGGGGCTTGCTGCGTTTCCCCGTGTCTTCCTGGTGCTAGGACAGGTGTTTCCGTGGTCAGGCCTCTTTGTACTCCAGCGCTAGTGAGAATTTGCAGACTTCCTGGGACGGTGACATTTTCGGGCAAACACGAATTTGACCCTACTCTGGAGGAAGATGCCGGCAATTAACATACCTGATTTCTTGATTTCCCCTGTATATTTCAGTGTGCCAGGAGGGGGTAGTGGTCTGAGTTTAAGCTTCATTGGTGTAAAGGACAAGTATGTTATGTGTATGGTGGTGTGTTAGGCATTGGGATGAATTTTAAACGTTGTTGCTTATTAGCGTAATAGGATGCCCACAACAGATTAAAACGTCGTTGCTTATTAGTATAATAGGATACCCACAGCAGATTAAAACGTTGTTGCTTATTAGTGTAATAGGATACCCACAACAGACGAAAACGTTGTTGCTTATTAGTTTAATAGACTACCCACAACAGATTAAAAACAGATGCTTTGCTAAACTTGAGCGATTGGTTACTGATCATTTTAGTTTTTTTAATGTTGTAATTGGTTTGTCTGTTACATTTTATTTTAACGCATTAAATTTTCCTAGGCAGGTTACTTTGTAAAAGGGAGAAATTTACATTTTAAAGGTAGCTGCTCTTTTGATTTGTTTGTTTTTTTAGGGGGAATTAAAAACAACAGAAGTTGAAGGAATGGTTTCAGAATTGATAGGTTACGATATTAATAGAGACTATCTCTAGTATTTAGATGTGTGTTAACATGTTTGTTTACAGTAGTCACATTTGAGCAATTTCTTCCTTTCCTGTCGATTGGTATATTGGTATGTAGACAGAAACGTATAGCTCACTACTTTATTTCGACTCACACATTGTTGATTACATGAACAAGGTAGCAATGGAGTTTCCATTGTTATTAATTACAAACTTCAGGGTGCTGGTCTTTCCACTTAGCCTTTTCCTGGATCAGATACTTTTTTTTTTTTTTTTTTTTGAGACGCAGTTTCGCTCTTGTTACCCAGGCTGGAGTGCAATGGCACAATCTCGGCTCACCGCAACCTCCGCCTCCTGGGTTCAGGCAATTCTCCTGCCTCAGCCTCCTGAGTAGCTGGGATTACAGGCACGCACCACCATGCCCAGCTAATTTTTTGTATTTTTAGTAGAGACGGGGTTTCACCGTGTTGACCAGGATGGTCTCGATCTCTTGACCTCGTGATCCACCCGCCTCGGCCTCCCAAAGTGCTGGGATTACAGGCGTGAGCCACCGCGCCCGGCCTTGGATCAGATACTTTATCTCATTTGCTCTTAAACCAAAATCCTGTAGCTTTTTACAGGGGAAATAATTGTCACATGGCCAAATGAAACATTTTGAAAATGTATTTAAAATGTAGGTATTAGTTTACAGGGGAAAACACATAGATGTGACAGAAAGCTCACATTTGTTGTTGGTGTTTATTCTGAACCAAGTTAATAGGCTGATTAGACTCTCAGATATCCTTTGAGAAACACTGAGTGTCTTTTAAGCAAAATTTGTATGTTATTTCCACTTTGGGAAAGGACTTTTAAACTCATAAGTACCTTCCACCTGAAGTTAGTTGAATGAATAAATATATAAGGAAAACATGCTGATATATGCATAAGGCAGTGACGTTATTGCATAATGCAATTAGTTCTGATAGTACTGACTGCTTAGTTACAGGAGCAAACAAGCACCACCCTAAAATTTCAAACTATCAACATAAAACTGCAGTCTTACTAATCAATAACATTTTTATCCTTTCTGAGGAGGAAAAGAAAAAATACAATTTTAATTAAAAAATAAAATGGTTCCCTCCCCGCCCCCCCCCCCCCCCACCCCAGACAGTCTTGCTCTGTTGCCCAGGCTGGGGTGCAGCGGTGGTATCTCAGCTCACAGCAACCTCCACCTCTCGGGTTCAAGCTATCCTCCTGCTTCAGCCTCCCTAGTAGTAGCTGGGACTACAGGTATGTGCCACCACACCCACCTAACATTTGCATTTTTAATAGAGAAGGGATTTTACCATGTTGGCCAGAATGGTCTCAATCTCTTGATCCACCCACCTTGGCCTCCCTAACTGCTGGGATTACAGGCATAAGCCACTGCACCCAGCCTAAAAAATAAAATGGCATTTAAAAAGTTTCAAGTCTATACACAAAATGAGAAACTCTATTCCAAGGATTGTTGTCCTTTGAGCATTATAGACAGTTTACATTTTTTTCCTTTTGCTTTTTTTCTCTCAAATATTTTAAATGCATTGCTTTTGTTTGTTTTTTGCTTTTTTACTTTTTATTTCATTTTGAGATGGAGTTTTGCTGTTGCCCAGGCTGGAGTGCAGTGATGCGATCTCAGCTCACTGAAATCTCTGCATCCCAGGTTCAAAGCAATTTTCATGTCTCAGCCTCCCAAGTGGCTGAGACTACAGGTGCACACCCAACCATGCCGGGCTAATTTTTGCATTTTCGGTAGAGACGGGTTTCACCATGTTGGCCAAGCTGAAAGAGACTTTCAATGAAAGCTGATTATTAGACACCTCAAGTTCGTTTATTTTGAGTAGTGATTACCATGTAGCAGTACTAGTCAAAGATTTGGCTCTTAGGAAAAGAAAGTTTGAGTGCAGGCCGGGTCCGGTGGCTGATGCCTGTAATACTAGCACCTTGGGTGGGGCGTGGTGGTTCAGGCCTGTAATCCCAGCACTTTGGGAGGCTGGGGCGGGTGGATCACGAGGTCAAGAGATCAAGGTTTATTTATTTAATTTTTTTTCTTGAGATGGAGTCTCACTCTGTCGCCCAGGCTGGAATGCAGTGGTGAAATCTTGGCTCACTGCAACCTCCGCTCAGCTTCAAGCTATTCTCCTGCCTCAGCCTCCTGAGTAGGTGGGACTACAGGCATGTGCCACCATGCCCAACTAAGTGTGTGTGCGCATGCGTGCGTTTTTAGTAGAGACATGGTTTCACCATGTTGTTCAGGCTGGTCTTACATTCCTAACCTCAAATGATCTGCCCACCTCAGCCTCCCAAAGTGCAGTGATTAAAGGCATGAGCCACCGTACTCAGCCACATTTGAGCTTTAAAATAAACTGATAGAATAAAATACTGCTTTAATCTGTTTCTAGTATATCCACATAAAATTCATTTAGAAAAATGTTCTTGTACTAAAATATTTAAAGCTATTGGATTATGATTTATAAGTTTTATTTTGTAGTTAGCATCTCTAGGGGAATTCCAGGGACACTTGCTGTCTTGTGATTATTGATCCTTTTAAAAATCATTGTATTTGAGAAGTAAAGTAGTAGAAAATCTATGACAAAATAGGGAATTAAAGTAGACAGTACACTCAACCTCCACTATATATAAAGATTTTAATGAATTTCTGTACATTGTGCTACTGGTTAAGATCTGAGACTCTAGTGTGATATTGTGCTGGCCTGGAGCCAGAACCTGAGCCACACTATTTTTATAAAATGCAAAACTGTTTTTAAATAAGTTGCAATGGCTGCCCCATTCTCCTCGCAATAACTACTGTTCTTGGCCGCTGTAAATAGAACTGCTAGTTTGTTCTGCAAAACTATGTAAAGCTGCTTACCTTTTCTTATCAGTAACTGCTAAAATCTGTGACTTCTATCACCACCCAGACCATGTGTAAACAAATGTATATCTTGACTTCTGTAAACCACTGAGGTAACAAACAGAATGACAAAAGTCCCCTAGACCTTGGAATGTCCGGAGACCCCCGCCCTTTTCTCCGCCCAGGAGGTGAATCACAGAATCCCCTAGCCCTTGGAATGTCCGAAACCTTTTCATCCCCATCCCCGCTCTTCACCCCCACTTCCAAGGTGGTTTTTCGGGTATAAAAAGTCTTGGCACCCTCGTTTTGACGCCACAGGTTGGAGAGACGTGAGTCCTCTGTGGTCGCCGGCATAATAAATGACCCTGCAATCTGGCATACTTTTGTCTTGGTGCTAACTTTCTACGCTCCGTCCAATACAACACTAGAGTCAACCTGAGTTGAAGTGGTGGCTCATCACTTGATGTCTTGTCTCAGTTTTTTCCTACATAAAATGAGGGTAATAATAGTGTTAATTCATAGGATTATTTTAATATGAAGTGCATTAGTGGTCCCTGGCATAAAGGTACTCGTAAAACATTGTTACTATGATTTTAGAACATGGTTGAGATCTTACTTTATGTTTAGTATGTCTTTTCCTCACTTAACATATCGGGCTGGGCGTGGTGGCCGTAATCCCAGCACTTTGGCTGGCTGAGGTGGGTGGATCATCTGAGTTCAGGAGTTTGAGGCCACCCTGGCCAACATAGTGAAACCCTGTCTCTACTAAAAATACCAAAATTAATCCCAGCTCCTTGGGAGGCTGAGGCAGGAGAATTGCTTGAACCAGGGAGGCAGAGATTGCAGTGAGCCAAGATTGTGCCATTGTACTCCAGCATGGATGACACAGTGAGACTCTGTCTAAAACAAAAAAAAAAACACGTATCACAACTATTTTCCCATGTTGTTAAAAATTACACCAGTAATATAAGAGAATATTGGGTGCCCTGTACCCTTGCCAATACTGGACATTCTCACTTTTTCGGTATTTCCCAATATGATATGTGAAAACCGTCATGTCCTTGTTTTGATTTGCATTTTCCCCAAGCATCAGCGAGGTTTAATGGTTTTCATATTTTAAAAAAGTACTTTTTAAAATAAGTATTTTTACTGTACCAGTAAAAACGAGGCTTTGCAGTCTTGCACCTGCTATATAACATGCTCTCGGTTGATGGCCATGCACCTTCAGTCAGAATTTATATATAAATATATGCACCCATTGTTTTGAGTGCATATAATTGGACCTAAAAATCTTTTTGATTAGATGAAACACCAGAAATATAAGGAAAATAACACAGCAGAGGAATAACTCAGCCTGAACAGTGAGGTGGTCCCAGCTAATTACATGAGGTGCAGTTTTTTTGTTCCCTTCTATTCTTTGGATATGGTTACGGCGTTTGTAGGCTTGGAGGTAAAGAACTGAAGATAACTGGTACTGGATAGAGGAGCCTTTATTTTTATTATGGCAGCTTGCTATTTTTATAACATGGTCATTGAGTTGAAAACAATCAAAGTACAGTAGCAACTGATCTTCCCTTCTTCCTGGATGAGTGAGCAGATGATTACTGATGTCAGCATCCCTGAACCATATAAAAGTGAGCAGTGTTTGGCGATGCTTTTGTTTGAAATGATACTGTGTTTTGGTTGTAGTCCGAAGCTTTGAAGCGCTACTTAACATCTCCTTTCTTCCATGGAGCTCTCACCATTCAAACATGACACATTTGGTAAAATACTAGTTAGGTTGAGTCTTCCTTGCCCCCACTCAGTCATCTTTGAATGAATCCCATAGTTTGGGATTTTTTTCTTTTTTTTTTTCCTTTTTTTAAAAACGTTTTTAGCTGGTGTTCATGAAGAACAGTGAGTACCTAGAACTGTGCCACTAAGTAAAGGAAATCCTAAGAAGGTTCATTTCTTTACAGAGCTGTGTCATGCCATCCTTTGGGCCCTCTGCTGGAAAAGTAGAATCAAGTCTCAAATAATGCCTTTTTAATTGTATTATAGATATAGGACAGTACTGTATCATACCTCTGTGAATGTAAAATATCTTGTTACCTGCTTTATGATATGTAGTAGTGACCGTGCTTTATCAGACCTGTTTTAAATGATGTTACTCTAGAATGTTTTCTTTCCAGATGATGATTCAGAAGCTAATTTTTAAAAATGGTGCCAGGGACCAGTTACAACAGTAACAGAACTTTGCAATTTTGGGGGGTTTTGTTTTTTACCTTTTTCTCCCCTTTTTTTAAAATGGAGTGTGCTGGATGTCTCTATAATTTTGTTCAGATGACTGCAGAACCTGGAAAAACTGTTGCTCCTATTGATGCATAACATACTGCTATTATTGGTCTACACACACACACACACACACACACACACACGATTTGAATTTTTGGAAACTGTAGCTGTGCTGTCAACTTTGGAAAAAGTATCCCAGTGTACTGTGTTGACTTGGCATTGTACAGAGATTAAAAGCCATATTGGTCTAGAAACATTAAACTTAAACATTGAACTTAATTTTTTTCCATTTGTACAGGGGTAACACTTCTTTATATAGAAGTTTTAACTTACGTGGTCAGATCTTTCGCTTAAAAAAATTCATTATTCAACTTGAAAATCTTTTACTTCATTATAGGTTTGGTTTTTTGTTTTTTTTTTTTATTGTTTAGCAAAATCTCTACCATCCCAAGATTATTTTAAAAAGTTTTTCACTTATTTTATGTGAAAAAATTTTTTTCCACACTGAGCTCATTTAGTTTGTATGGAATTTCCTTTTGCATTTATCATGAGGGTAGGAATCTAACATTTTCCCCAAATGGATAGGATTTTACGTCTCTCAGTTCACTGACCTGTTCATATTTCAAATGCCACAAAGTCTTCCTGCATCCATGAGGCCTCTTTCTGGATTTTCAGTTCTGTTCCAGTGACAGGTCTGTTTGTGTTTATTCCATTACTTTGCCTCCCCTGTGGCTTTTTATAGACGTTTGATATCTGATAGGGCAAATATGCTCATTTTCAATTTTTTCTTAGCTATTCTCATGAATTTACTGTTTCTGGTGAATTTTAGAATTATTTTGATGAATTTTAAGACAAATCCCATTGAGATTATGATTACAATTGGCTGAATTTATAGATGAATATGGAAAATACTCAATTCTCACTAGCAGGTCTTTCCATAAAGGAGGATACTGTTTCTGTTTATTCTGGAGTTGCCTCTCTGTTAATGGTTTTAACGTAGATGCTCACTGTAGCACTGTTTTATTCGAAACACATGTATTAGAAAGATAGAGTAAAGTAGTTGAGGGAAAAGCCTCATATCATCTCTTCCTGTTTTCATTACTCTTTTCACCTTTAATTCTGGGTCTGAAGAGACTTTATCATGATAAATGGTGTATGTATACTCAGGCTCTTGTAACAATTGGCAGTATAGTAAGATCTCTTTTTCTTACTGGCATTAATTTAATGATTAAGGACTATTTAATCAAGTTGATAATTGTACTTAACTTTTTTTTTTATATCTTTTTAAGATGGGGTTTCACCATGATGGCCAGGCTGTTCTTGAGCTCCTGACCTCAGGTGATCCACCCACCTCAGCCTCCCAAAGTGCTAGGATTGCAGGCGGGAGCCACCAGGCAGGTCTGATAACTGTACTTAACTCTTATGTTAGATAAGAAGAGTGTTTGTAGTTTCTGAGAGTACACATTAAGATAGTGCCTTTACTCTTGTTTTATTTGAAAAACTCTTTGAGGTAATACATAATTGTTGTGAAAATTTCATAGAATATTGCAGCATATGAAGAAGAAAGTGCTTTTTGAGAAGGTGAGAATTTTGTTTTCCAAACTATCAGTCATTGATGTGCTTCCTTGTTACTTGTGCCATATATTTGTATCATCTGTACTGTTAATTCATAACAGTTTTCTTAAAATTTACTAAAGAAATCCAAAAATCCTTAGTGATAAGAGCTGTGAACTCGTACATTGATGTGTATTACATAAATAATGTTGATGTTTTATGGACATTGCTGTATATTAAAAAATATATAACATTGATGCATAGTAAATAATGATTTATTCAAAAGTATGTATACTTTATGACACACTGTCACAGTGAGTGGAAGTATAAGTTCTGAAATCAAGGTTTCATGGTTTTAAATCCTGATTCTGCTATGTCCTCCCTCGGTGATAGTAGATAATAAACTTAAGCCTCTGCTTTCATTTTATTTGTCAAATGAGGTTAGTGTGCCACCTCCCTTGTAAGGCTATTATAAAATTAAACAGCAGGTGTAGAGTCAGTCAGCACAGCCCTAGTACATAGGTGTTCCACAAATACTATCATTCAATATAATAACTTGTAAATAACCTTGTGACTTTTTCAAAGCTAGTTCTCACACAAGCATCTCATTTGAAAAGTGTTTACATAGTATTCATTGTAAGAATATACTATGATTTATGAAACAGTGTTTTGTAATTACTTTTTGAGCTTCTTTGTAAAAAGAGCAACAAATAACAGGATTGGTTTCTAATATGTATCACCAGATTTCCCTCCCAAAGGACTGTATTAATTTGCTGTTCTGTCAGTTTAGACTTCATGATTTAATTATTTGGTGGGGGCAATAGTGGGTTTTAAAATAATACTTCTTTTTGTTTTAGTTAACACTATTCACTAGCCATTAAGGAACACATTAATTACTATTCTTGTGCAATTTTCTGAGAGGTAGGTATGCCTGCCTCTGTGTGTGGGCGTGTGTGTGGGCTTGTGTGTGTGTGTGATGCAATTTATGTGTGTGGTATTAGAAATTGAGAAATTATGGTAATTTTATATTATTTTGGTCAGGGATCCGTGGAATGTCAGAAGTGTCTCCAATTTGTAGCCGCTGTTTTCAAGTCTATAGGGTCCATGGGAGAAAGATTTGTATTAAAAATTTGCACTGACAAATGGAAAACAAAAGGACTGTGTATTTTATTCTTAACTAGGACTTGGGCAGCAAACTCCAGGGTAGAAAGAAGACTGGAATGAGACCAGCTGGCTTATGTGGAAATGCTGGGTTTTTTTCCGGAATCTAGTTAAGCTTAAATTGTTTCAAACTAAAGCAGGCCATGAGATGAACCCTTTTCATCTCCCCAGGACTCAAACACACTGCGATCTTTCCCCCACATTTCACTCCTTTCTGTCAGTTGCCCCAGGTAATGTAACCAGAGCGAGCGCATTTCCCCTGACTGACTGCTGATCTGGCCTTGGACACTTGCCCTGGCCTCTTCTGCCCATGCAGTAGGTTTGGCCCTGGCTATCCCTGACAGTGCGGGGTACAGGAGGGAGTGACGACCTTCTCAACCACTTCAGTCACATGGAAGAAGGAGAAGAGTGAGCTCACATCTGTACGCTGACCTTTTAACAGTGACGCTGCCCAGTGACACACAGACCTAGTGTTCTCACATCTGCCTTCTTCCTTCCTGAGAATCAGGAGAAACAGCAGCTCAGGCTTGATCTCTCACCTCAGAAGACAGCATGTAAAAACTTGCAGCCATTCTCAGAAGCACTGGTTTTCTGTTGGGTTATTGCCTGTGTCAAATGAGCCAGAAAGAGGTGGAGTAACAACTGACTTGCTGAGAATTGCACACAATCCATGTCCCCCCACCGCACCGCTCCTCAGCTACACATCAGCCTGCAGAGAGTGACTTCTTACTCTTGAGACGTTCTTTCCTCTTGCTTAATGGTTCATGACATGTTCTTCATTTTCCTCCTCTCTCTCTCTCTTTCTTTTTTTCCTGGCTTATTCTCCTGTATTTGGCCGTTGGATGTTGATGTTCACCCATCAGCCCTAGGCCCTTCTGTCATTCTTCTTTGCCTAAGCAGTCACAGCCATGTCCATGGCCTCAGTCATGGGCAAATCCAATATTTTCATCTCTACCCCAACTTCTGCTGTTGAGAGCTCGATCTACTAATACCTGATTGCCTACTGGACAGATCTACTTGGATATCTAAAAAGTATTCTATATTCAGCATGTCCAAGATTTGTTTGATATTCTTCCTACAAAAATGCTGTTTACTATCTTAACGAAAGGCATCACCGGCTGGGCAACGGTGGCTTACCTCTGTAATCCCAGCACTTTGGGAGGCCGAGGTGGGTGGATTGCCTGAGGTCAGGAGTTCAAGTCTAACCTGGCCAAAAGGGTGAAACTCCCTCTACTTAAAAAGCACAAAAAATTACCTGGGTCTGGTGGCGGGTCCCTATAATCCCAGCTACTTGGGAGGCTGAGGCAGGAGAATCACTTGAACCCAGGAGGCAGAGGTTGTGGTGAACTGAGATCGTGCCACTGCACTCCAGCCTGGGCAACACAGTGAGACTCCATCTCAAGAAAAAACCATACACACACAAAAAAAATCATTGAGCGGTGCATGTTTTGTTGTAATCAACAAAGTGTAACCCTGTAACGTATATTCAGGTCATTAAATAGACCAATGCCAGCGCTCCTGAAAGCCGTCCCTTAACTTTCCTCTAATCAACTGTATCCTTTCTCCTTCTCAAAAATGTTTCCTCTCTCCTGACTTCAATGAGAATCATTTTCTTACTTTTCTAAGATCGCACCGAAATTTGGTAGTTTAGTTTTCCCTGCCCTTTGAACTTTATATAAGTGGAACCATTTAGTTTGTTTTCTTTACTTGGCTGGTTTCACTCAGTGTCATTTTGTGAGATTCACCTGTGCTTTATGGCACTGTAGTTTGTTCATTTGTCATTGTTGAATAATACTATATCAGAAATCAACACAATTGATGTATTCAGATGTATTCACTCTCTTTTTTTTTGGAGACTGGGTTTCAATCTTTTCACGCAGGCTGGAGTGCAATGGTGCTATCTTGGCCCACTGCAACCTCAGCCTTCCGGGTTCAAGCAATTCTCCTGCCTCAGCCTCCTGAATAGCTGGGACTACAGGTGTGCACTACCAGGCCCCACAAATTATTGTATTTTTAATAGAGATGGGGTTTCACCATGTTGGCCAGGCTGATCTCAAACTCCTGACCTCAGGTGATGCACCTGCCTTGGCCTCCCAAAGTGTAGGGATTACAGACATGAGCCACCATGCCCAGCCATCACTCTCTTTCTGTTGGATATTTGTCTCCGGTTTACAGCAGTTATGAATACTGCTGCTATAAACTTTTTTGTATATCTTCACTTTTAGTTAGTAATGCCAGACTGTTTTCCAAAGTGGTTGCACTAGTTTAGATTCCTACCAGCAATGTGTGAGAATTCTTGCTTATCCACCTCTTTGCCAAGGCTTGGAATTGTCAATCTGTTAAATTTTATTAACCATTCTGGTTGGTACATAATGGTTTTTTCTGTGTAAGGTATATGTCATATTCAATAAAATATGAAAATGTATAGTCTGAAAGGATATTTTACATAGAAATGTATCTATGTAACCACTACCCACATATAGAATGTTTCCATCGTGCCAGAAGTTCTCTCATGCTCTTTTCCAGACAGAAGCTGCTATTCTATCCACACAGTTTTGACTTCGGCCTCTATACATGCGTTTTGGTTGTTTTTGAACCTCACATAAATGAGCTAAGATTGTATGGCCTCTACTATGTCTGGCTTCTTTTGCCCAGCATGGTTTTTTGCAATTTATCCATCTTGCTGATTACTCTTTTTTTCTTGCTGAGTTCTGTTGTGTGATTATATTACACTTTGTTTATTCATTTTCCTATTGATTGTTTCTAGGTTTTGGATATTATGAATTAAGCTGCTATGAACATTCTTATATGTACTTATTTCTATTGGATATATATCTAGGAGTGGATTTCTGGGTCATGGGGTAGGTGTTTAGTAGAAACAACAGAACAGTTTCCCAAAGTGGTTGTACCAATTAACACTCCACTCTGGTTTTAATTTGCATTTCTCTGATTACTAATGAGGTTGAACAGCTTTTTAATATGGGTTTTTTTCTTTTCTTTTCTTTTTTTTCTTTTTTCTTGGCCATTCGGATGTCTTCTGTTTGAGGAGCTCTTTGAAGTCTTTTCCCTAATTTTCTGGTAGGTGTTTATTGTTTTATTGGTTTGTATAAGGGATAAATATATTGATCCCCTCTCTCCCTGCCCCAATCTATGTTGCAGCTATCTTTTACTAGCTAGTGGCTAGCCTTTTTATTATCTCTTCACTAACAGAAATATTTTTAATTTTAATCTTTAATTATTATGGATACATAATAACCATACATATTTATGGGGTAGATGTGGTATTTTGATGTAAGCATACAATGCATAATTATCAGATTACGGTAGGGTACCCCATCACCTGAAGTATTTATCATTTCTTGATGTTAGGAATATTCCAATTCTAATCTATTAGTTATTTTGAAATGTAAAAATAATTACTGTTAACTGTGTTGCCCTATTGTGCTACTGAACACTAGACTTATTCGTTCTTTTTAACTGTAGTTTTGTACCCATTCTATCCCTCTTTATTTCCCACTTCCCTTTCTGTCCTCTACTATCTACATGGGTTCAATTTTTTTCCTTTAGCTCCCAAATATGGGTGAGAACATGCAATGTTCGTCTTTCTGTGCCTGGTTATTTTACTTAACATGATGTCCTCCAGTTTTATCTATGTTATTGCAAATGGCAGGATGGCATTCATTTTGATGGCCGAATAGTACTGCATTGTGTATAAGTACCACATTTTCGTTATCCTTTCTTCTATTGATGGATCCTTAAGTTAATTCCATGTGTTGGCTATTGTGAATAGTGCTGCGGTCAGCATGGGAGTACAGAAATCCCTTCAGTGTACTCATTTCCTTTCTTTTGGGTGTATACCCAGCAGTGGGATTGCTGGATCACACAGCAGTTTTTAGTTTTTTTGAGGAACCTCCGCATAGCGATTGTAATGATTTACATTTCCAACAACACTGTACAAGGGTTCCTTTTTCCCCACATCCTTGCCATCATCTGCATTGCCTGTCTTTTTGATAAAAGCCATTTACGCTGAAGTGAGATGATATCTCATTGTAGTTTTGATTTGTATTTCTCTGATTAAAGAAAATTTTAATTTTAATGTAGTTGAACATTTCTGACTTTTCCTTTGTAAATAGGAGTTTTTGTATCCCTGTGTGCAGATAATGTACATTAGTTTTTTGTTATTGTTTGCTTTTCACATTTAAATCAACAGTCTCTGGAATTTTTGTGTGTGTGGTGTGAGATGGGGTTAGTTTGTTTTCCTAGATGACACATGATGATGATGATGATGATGATGATGTTGATGTTGATTATGCTTAGTTCCATTTATTGAAAATTCCTTGGACACAAATCAGGTGATCGTGTATACAAGGATTTGCCTGCCTCTTCTATTTGTGGTTTCCTGAGACCCTTTCAGAGCAGGCTGTTGGCGTAACACATGATGATTTTTTCTCTCAGACTCATTTTCTCACAAATGTACAATAGGGTTGTCCAGAGGCCACATGAAATGCAGTGTTGCACCAGATTGAATGCAGGAGATAAGAGAACCAAGCTGTCTCCCAAATAAAGGAGATTTCCAAAAACGTCACAGTGCCACTCTTCTCACTCATTTTTTTTCTTGTTTTAGAAAATAGTTATTTTTCATTAAAGTTTTATTGATGATAGCATATAATAGATTTCTTGTTATTTTTAAATGAATGAATTGTCATTTAAAATTTCCTGTTTTGGCTGGGCATGGTGGCTCATTCCTTTAATCCCAGCACTTTGGGAAGTTAAGGCAGGCACATCACCTGAGGTTACAAGTAGGAGACCAGCCTGGGCAACATGGCGAAACCCTGTCTCTACTAAAAATACAAAATTAGTGGAATGTGGTGGCACATGCTTGTGATCCCAGCTACTCAGGAGGCTGAGGCAGGAGAATTGCTTGAACCTGGGAAGCGGAGGTTGCAGTGAGCCAAGATCATGCCACTACTCTTTAGCCTGGGTGACAGAGGGAGACTCCATCTTAATAAATAATTTCCTGTTTTAATTTCTAATGTGATAAATATAATAGCTATAACCCATGTTAATTAACTAAAGCATTTTAGAATCTCAATAGTTTGCAGTAATGTCAAACCAAAAAGTTTGACAGTCACTCGTCTAGTTTTATGTCTTGATATATATTCAGTGGATAATAATAAATCTTAGTTTGTGTGGCCCTGGGCCCTGTGCATTTCCATATTTTTAGAATCAGCTGTGATGTTCCACAAGAATACCTGTTAGGAATTGATTGGAATTGTGTTGAATCAGTTTGGAATAATTGAATTTTTTTTGTTGTTGTTGTTACACCTTTGATAATCGGAATTTGAAATGTTTGTACCATTGAATCTTCTGATTCATAAACCTTTTTTCTTCATGTGTTTTGGTCTTTAATTTTTTTTCTCAAAATTGTTATATAATTTTTTGTATAAAAGTTTTGCACATTTTCCAAACAATTTTTGAAGGAAAAAAATTCTACTTAGAAGTAAACTGGCCAGGCACAGTGGCTCATGCCTGTAATCCCAGCACTTTGTGAGATAGGCCAAGGTGGGAGGATCACTTGAGCCCAGGAGTTTGAGACCAGTTTGCGCAACACAGTGAGACTGTGTTGTATCTCTGCAGAGAAAAAAGTAAGATGAACAAAAGAAAATGAAAGATACTTCTTAGAAACATAAAACTTGACTGATGCTCATAAAAGAATAAATGCTAAAACATATTTTGATCTTGAATAGGACAGCTCTCACATTGATAAGATGTCAGTATCCCCTCTAAGTTGCAGTACTTTACATTGTTAGAAAGACACTTTTTCTTTTGTGATTTCTAAGGTGAAGATATGCCTTAAAACTGATGACATCTTCCTGGTACTTTTGGCCATGTGGTAATTATGAAGTTAGGTTTGGAGCATCTTAACCAATTTATTTTACATAACTTTCCTTTCGTTATAAGCACAAGTCAGATGTGATTTGAAAACAGAAGTGTTTACGTATAAAGAAGCTCTTTCAAGTGACATAAAATAACTGTGCATCTTACACTGAAAATGTCTTAAATTTAGTGACAGATGCCAAGCACAGTGGCTCAAGCCTATAACCCAGCACTTTGAGAGGCTGAGGTGGGAGGATTACTTGAGACCAGGAGTTATAGACCAGCCTGGGCAGTATAGTGAGATGCCATCTCTTGGGGGAAAATACACACACACACACTTTGTGAACTTAAAGTAATC